ACAGACTGCCAGTGCTCACTAACACAATATGTCTACTGAATTAAACTTTGCCTCTGTGACTTCTTTAGTCATGTGCGAATACCTCCCTGCTTAGACGTGGGTTCTGGTTGACGACGGTCCGCTTACTTACCTGAAAAGAAACAAATTAGGTTAAACGAGTCGTTTTTAATAACATTCAACTACCTTCCTACTTGTAACATGAAACGTAAAAATGCCTACTGATCCAGAGATGGTAAATCTTTTTTAGGCTGGATACGTGGAAACTCTGTCCGTCGGTAAAGTGAACAAACCTCTGTTAGGATAACATTTATTATAATTGTGATATTAATGATGAAAAATAATAATTGAAATGGTTTCATGAAATGTTACTTTTTAAAATGTGTACGAATAACAAAATATGAGTTCTTTTATAAGTAAGAATTGTTTTCATCATTGCTACTTATGATTGATAACATAAAGTATTCTGGTTTCGTAATTTTAAATATCTATTTAATTAACTAATTAAGTAATATTTCACATTGTGAAGTGGTAATAATATTTTTTTATTGAAAAACTGGATTATATATAAAATAATTCATTAAACAATTGGAAAAGATCAAAAAGTAAAAATCAGCTGTGATTCAGATGTTTTTTTTTTAAATATCTTCTCGTCATACAGATTTTCTGGTTTAAAGTTGCACCATCAAACTCACTTTTAATAAATATCATACATAAAAATATTAAATCAAGCCAATGGTTAAGTTCCAAAAGAAATGTTTAATGGGACAGTGAAATAATATAAATGTTTGTCACAAAAAAAATATGATCAAGGGTTACACTTCTAACGATCAAGCAGATGATAGCAGATTAAAATTCTCTATGATATGAACAGTTTTCAAGTACTAATGGTGAAGGCTTAAAGATATATCGTAACCTTTTTGTCACAAAAGGTACCGATTAAGGCAAATGAAAGGCAAGTTCAGTGTTTGGCTTTACTCACTTTCCAATGCCATTCTACGTCCTGCACAAATGAAATTGATCCTTGTGCCGACAAGGTAAGAGTTTAAATTCCAATGGCCCTAGCAAATAATCTGAACTGAGTCGACAAAAATTATAATAACACAAGAACGGCATTTATTATACAGATTGAGCGAGAATCCAGTGAGTTTGAGTCACGTTTTGAATGTAATGACGTCACGCACGCACTCCTGCAGATCCCGAAAGGACGAGTAATATGCAAGAATAATAATGTGCTTAGACAAAGAGAGCCGCCGTAGCCCCTGAAATGGGTTAAGACGACTTACGAAAGGAATGGAATATCAAATTCATGTGACGCATCTATCCCTTGGGTGTAACACTTTACACATTGTGCTAACATGAACATGAGAAAAAAGCTATTTTTCTTGCTAAGATAATGAAACAAATGTAATTATCTAAACCCAAAAAAATAATGTATAAGAATTTAAGGCCATGTAACTTTGCCAGTTAACAGAGGCAAATCCGCTATTCCCCTCATATACAGTGTTGTATATATATTTTATTTCCGTCGTTTCTTTAAAATTTGTTGTTGTTGATCAAAATAAATTATGTTGACTTAATTAGTTAATACCAGGTCGAGATCCATGGGCAAACTACCCCAGCTATTTACTAAATATTTATCAATCTAAGTTATTGCACGACCGGGCGCCTCCATTAATTAAAAGATTATCAGCAGAGCCTGATTGGCCTAGCCTGACGCTGTGTGTAGCGACGCCGAGCAGCCGCAAACTCCGAAAATATTGGTATCCGGAAAGTAAACAATTCAGCATAATTGAATCGACATAGGTAATAGCTGCGATAAAGGTAGGTTGAGGACACCTGGCGAGGGAGCCACGTGGAGCGGCATGAGAGAGACAGGGACTATCGCCGTCCCACTCTCGCTAATGGCGTTCGCAAGATGCTTACAGGTGAACACAGCGAATCACATATGCTGTGACTGCGAGTGAGACAATATTATATTATACGGTATGTGTGTGTCGCTATTTTGTTGCCGATGGTGACGGCGATGTAAAATAGGCATCTTGTTACAAGTTTCGTTTTCGATACGGCATTGTGGGTGACGGTTGATAACAAATTCAATCACGGTGAATGGGTGACGCACTTTCTAAGCACTCGGGGTGACTGCTATAAAACGATTTTCGTCTCTTCACAGAGATAAGTGTTGACGAAGGAGCCGGTCGTTTCGTATCTTATTATTATATCAAGAAGAACATATTCATCAAACATACTTATTTATAGCGTCAATACGAAGTCTGAATTTTAGATTATTATAAAAATATCATGCTGCACGGTCAATAGTATTCATAAAGCAAACAATTATTATTTTACATGTAAGTGTTTAATTAAGATCTATTGTGTATTTTTACACTTTATAGTTATATTAAGTTTTGCTTATTGGGACAATTTTGCACTTGTTTGTATCGGACAGATTACTATTATGTAGAACTTTGTCAAAAATAATAAGTGTTAAAATTTCAGGTAACAAAACACAATACATTACAAACTTACCATTAAAATATACTTTTGAATGGCCTTAACTTACTGTTTAATGTAGACGATAAATTTCACTTAGGCTTACTAAGTTTGTCTAATTACTCAGCAAAATTATCTTACTACTTCTTATTAAAAAAAAAATATAAAAGCCTAATACAAAGTAAAACATTTTGCTTTGAGTTTCTTGAATAAACAAGAAAAACTAAAACATTAATTAAATAAAAACTGTAAAAAAACTCTTATACAATATCCAATCGAATTAGTAACATTAAACTGGTTTTTTAACTTCATATTCTACATTTAATAAGCGTAGCGAAATATTTAGTCCATGTATTAACTAGACAAGTATATCCTCAGTTAGAATTCCGAGTTAAAAGCACCAATAGACTAAATTCTTTGTGATGTTATTGACGCTTACTTGTCAATGTAGAAAAATGCTTTTGATTTAAAAGTTATAGTTTTATAAATTGCAGCAAAATAAAATGATTTTTGATTTCCAAACCACTTTTTTGGTAATAGTAAATTTTGTGCAAATGGTATCAATCTTATTACTTATATTGCCTATTATAGACATTGTACAACTGTCCAAGTATATAAAAAATATCACAGCATCTATACAAAATAATCCAGTAGGGATTTGCTCTGTCATATTGTACATATTTTGCGTTTTATCTTATGGAATTATTGAACCAACAAAAGTAATGAGAAGCTATGAAGTAACGAGAGGATTGGACAGAATAGAAAATCCTAGAGTAAGATTAAAATATGTCATTGATTTGACTAATGCTTGTAGAAATTATCTGCTTGGTGGTCTGTCGATGTTTTTCCTTCTAGTTCTCCGAAGATTGTTCGACTTTGTTCACTTTTCTGCTAAACTACATGAATTTTCAGATTTGATGAGAAATTATGATTTGATCGACGTTGATTTGACTAGTGAAGTTGAAAAAGAAGATTCAATATTTACTATTGATGAAGAGTTTGATGACAATGATGATCATTCAGTACGTTGGCCAAGTTTCATAGATTTCAGTAGAATAGAGCACAAAAAAATAAAATCATTTTTGAGAGCCACGCAGAAGAAAACTAGTGAATTTATGAACAGAAGAAAATCTGACGCAGAGAAAGCAGGTACAGCAAGTGCCTCAAATAACACAGACAGAGAAATAAATTTTGACCTTAATGTTAATCGCAACGTTAATAAAGAAACAGACCAGGAAGACAACACAGAAAATTTAAACCAAGACCAAACAAGCCAAAAGGCTCAAAATGATTAATTTATTCAGCGCTGTGGTAGGATCTGTACTATTTGCAGAAGTTGTTTTCATTGTAGCCCTACTGAAGCCGGTTGCTGAGCCATATTACATAAGAAATGTATGGTGCCAATACCAGGATACCTCGTTGAACACCTCTAAACTGTTGGGCGTTGTAATAGCGTGCCTCTTTTGCAACAGTTTTATGGATATGTCTTGGGAAACTAACTACCACAAAAACCTTTTACTGGAAGTAAAGGACGTTAACCTCGTTTTAGAGTTCTATTTGAGCAAAATGTCTATGTGCTATCTCTGCTTTTTCATGGTGTTATTCTGCTACGTCATTATAGAGAGAATTGTACACTCTTTAAGCATGATTGCTAGATTACTAGAATTTGAATTGATGTGCAGACACGCAATTTTAACGAGAGATAACGCTTCTCAAGTTTATCGTACAGTGTTGAAATTAAATAATTTGTGTGAAGCATTACGCGGTTGTGACAGACGTGGTTTGTCATCGTAACTTGATTGTTTTAAAATTAAACATTTAAAATTGTACCAACTTTGTAGGTAGTAAATTAATGGATTGAATAAACTGGTTTCATTTTTATGTATGTATTGCTTGTTTTTGATCTCTAAGATAACCACAAATTATTATATATAAAAATGTTTTGGGGTTGTGAACATAGCGTCGGTCGTTTTGCTCTATGGTTGTGATTTTGAACAATAAATTGTTTTCTCAGAGTTTGCTGACATTATTATTTTCTTTCTTTAAGTGTTTGATTATTTTGGCCAATCACCAGGTTTCTAATACTAATTAACCATATTTGTTTAACCTATTATAGGTACAAAAAATACTTAGGACTTACAACAAAATATTGGCTCTCCTTGCGCTCATAGCATAGTTTCCTTAGTTTTTTTATTCTGCAAACAAACAGTTGTTTATTAAGAATCATTTAAATCAATAACAAAAAGGTGTTTTATAATGGTGCATTTTTATATAGTTCTCAATCATAACCATTTTCAATTAATAAGTTAAAAAGATTCTATTTAAGCAAAAAAAATAAACAAAACTAGAGCAAAACCATCGTAAAACGGCCAAACGTTTTGCTTACAACGAAGTTTTTAAACTGTGAAGAGTTCAATCAGGCCGCCAACCGCCCTCGTGCAGGCAGAATACAAAAAAAAGCTTCACAAAACAAATGCCTGTCACTGCATTGTCAGAAAATTGTCATCCGATTAACAGAAATGTAGAAAATAAATATTTTAAAATACCACCGTAAGAAGACAGTTTTAGCAAAAAATGTGACTAAGTTAATAAAAATCACCACCGGCATTACCAAGACCAAGAAAATGGACGGGAGCTGCATATTTCTGACATTCATGCTACTACTGCAGATGGGTTTGATCCTCGTTATGCTCAATCCAATTTATGACGTCAGGAAAATTACTCATCACATCGGCGAAGCGACTAAAAATTACCGCACTGTCTATTACTGCACCGTACTCGCCTATTTCTTGTCTGTGGTTTACCTCGGTATGTACATTCCATTGCAAAATATCCACACACTCATCTTCTCGAATTATTTGAACGAATACGAGAAGCTAATATTGCTGAGTAGAATCGAGAAGAACTACATAATAGCCGGTTTCTCGCTTTTCTTAGTCGTGGTAATATACGGTGTCAGAGGATTGTTGTCTTACGCGGCAAGTTTATTGGAAATGAACGATCGACACAGCGACCCACTAATGATCCATTCAGATACCAAGCTCGAAAAGAAAGTTTTTGGATTGTCCGAAAGTATACTGCCGAATCTTCTGCGCGTCAAAAGATCTATATCTTACGAAACCATTCTATTTACTAACGAACTTCGTGAACAGCTGAAAGCGGTTATACGTAATGTCGACTTCCCACTTAATAAGTGTACTCTATCAAGTATATTGGAGACTAGTGCAGTGCATATTTAACAGTCAATTTGTTGTCAAAAGTAAAATTTCACAATAAACCTATTGCATCAGTTACGAAGTTTGTTTCATTGACAATATCTATTGCGGTAAATTTTATAAGTGGAACTAGTGGCCGCCCGCGGCTTAGTCCTCGTGAACTTTGGTTTTTTGATCTCCTAAATATCCTTACTTTTTTCGGAATAAAAAGTATTGAATATAAATTTGAACCCGCTGTGTAAATATTTTCATGTTTTATTTTGACTACATAAAACAAAAAGCATTTCTTTCAACACGGACTATCGTATTTCTTTATAATCATCATCATCATCATCATCAGCCTATTAATGTCCCCACTGCTGGGGCACAGGCCTTCCCTATGGATGGAATAGGGGAGTTTGGGCCATGACCCACCACGCGGGCCCAGTGCGGATTGGTGGGTGCTCACGACTGCAGATGCAGCCGGGACCAACGGCTTAACGTGCCTTCCGAAGCACGGAGGAATTCGAGATAGTAAATTTTTGGTCACCCATCCAACAAAAGTTTTTTATTGATACGGATTTGTTTGTTGTTGTGATTTCTTGCGGTTTTTTGTATTTAATCATGCCTTAAAGTGGTAAAACTTTTCAAATACGGTAGAAAAGCACTATAGCACCCTCCAATTTAAATCCCATTCTCTTTCCGCACAGACTCTACAATGTTTTTTTATGACCTAATTCGATCATCATAATCGATATATCTTTCTTTTGTTTGTCATCCTTTAACTATAATAAGAACGTCTAAACCGTAACAGCTTTACCGTAAACAAATAAAAAAAAATCTTACAAAAAAGCAGTCAATCAAATATCCTAATATCAAAAGGAAATCTCCATAAAATAATACTTGTATTAAGAACAAAAGCGTATTAGTTTTTCTGGTAATAGTCACAACTGAAAAAGGTGGCGATCATTTCCTAAAAAACTATAGTTTCAACAAACGTTGCCAAGTATTTGGGTATTCCGGAGAATTACGAAGGGGCGAGGCGACGGGAAATATTCTAAAAGACGGAGCCGTAAAAATAAAACGCCCCCACAAAAGCAAGAGGGAAGAAAAATATTCCAAACAGGAATGTGTGGAGTCTGAATGTGTACACATTAACTAGGAGTGGGTTTTCTTAGCCTGAAATAGGTACTGCTGTACTGTACTGTATTCTCGGAAGGAATATTTCGTTTCTGTGATATTTGTTTTTTATTATTCAAATTTGGTTGCATAACGTACTCTAAGTGTCGCCGCACACGGGCCACCGACGACAACCACAAAACTATTTCTTGTAGTTTTCATACATTTTATATGGACTCGTCACACACGGTACGGAAGTCCAGATTTCTTAAAAAGATCAGTTTTTTTAGATGTTCGTACTAATAGATGACAAATGATACCCTAATAATATGCTTTCGCTGCTCTGACACAAGACTCCATATCTTGAACGGAAATAGTTATTGTCATTGAGTAAACACATAAAATTTGTACAAATTAAATTACAGAAAAACCTACATTAATGGTGATTTTTGTTTTAATATTAGCTTTCTTTAATATTGCACTCAAGTAGCTAGTTTTTTCTACAATTTGGGGTGACGAACAAGATTATGCTCCACCGAGTCGCCAGCCGATATACCTCACTGATAACTCTATTTACGCTTGCGATAACAATAATGGCGTAATAACATTTGGTCGTTAACCCGTATTGAAGAAGAACTGGAAGACGGTATCGGGTAACCAGAACGAAAACTACTCGAATACGGGCGTAAGCGACTCCCTTTATTGACACTTAGTCGTTTACCCGAATTCCATGGGCACTCGTATTCGGGCGAACGACCAAGTGTAATCGCGCCATTAGTGTGGAAATGAGTCGAGTACGCCCGTATTCGGATAGATTTCCTTTTGTTTACCCGACACCGTTCTATAGCCCGTGTTCCAAATGCAAATATTGCTTTGGGTGTCCGAATTCGAGTAATGTGTTTCGTGCACCCGAAAACGGGCTAACGACCAAATGCAATTAAGTCATTGGCACTCGTATTCAGGATAACGTCCAAGTGTAATTGCGCCATTAATAATTATAAAGTAATGCACTGTATAAAATTCAACAAGGCCCTGGTATCAGACTGGGATCATACCTACACTCTTAGCTGTCCGAACGAATATACTAACTGTTATTATGTTATCAATATCGACTGTGCTGCAATAGGGGTGATGACGGGGTACAGTAAACGAAATTCTATTTAGTCCTTCAGTTAGATAATCAAAAAATAATGGACACGTATTTTTTCTTTGGGCAATCAACCAAAAAATGACGAAGTTATAGCGCGTCAAAGTTTGGGAGTAGGGGCTCGTGTCGTCACTTTTAAGTGAAAATTGTACCAAAACGTGACGTCATGCGACTTTTCAAATCAGTATATCTCTGCAATGTTTACATTATGTGAAAAAAGAAAAAATACCAATGTGTACCATACCAGTACAATACCAGTGTCCAATTATTTTTGATAGTCTACCTGATAAACGAAAAAAAGAAAATTAGTCATCATCCCTATTATATCTAGTATTTATATTAAAACTTTGTGAAATTATCATCAATTTAAAATATGGTGAAACTAAAGGATAGTGCTATATTTTAAAGTATTCTGGGTGTATTAAAAATCAGGAGAAAAACATCTACTGTTCTCTATTCTTTAAAACTCGTGTAATCGAACGGTAAGAACGTCAAATTTTATTTCCAGATTTGTTTCCCAATTTGATCAATATAGCTCATCATCATCATCATCAGCCTATTAATGTCCCCACTGCTGGGGCACAGGCCTTCCCTCTGGTTGGAATAGGGAGATTGGGCCATGACCCACCACGAAGGGCCCAGTGCGGATTGGTGGGTGCTAACGACTGCAGATGCAGAAGGCTTAACGTGCCTTCCGAAGCACGAAGGAGCTCGAGATAGTAATTTTTAGTCACCCATCCAATGACCGACCACTGCGAAAGTTGCTTAAGTTCAACGATCGCAGCCGAACGCGCTAACCACTTACGCCATCGAGCTCCTTAATATAGCTATCGAACATTAATATTATCCCGAATGATAGAGGTTGTGGTCTCGTATTACCCTTTCCTGATTTACTTTAAGGATCAAAGGATCAAATAAAAAAGTAATGTTGCCCAATGTTTATAGATATATTTATTTACCTATGATGTGGTCCCAACACAACGCTAAACTTTTATGCACACTTTCTCATTTCTATTCTCATTCCAGTCACCAGTTCACCCCTTGTTTTTGAAACTATCCCCGTTTATTATTCCGAAATAATAGGAAAATAAATAACCCTTCAGAGGAGCAATGTCAGGTCCCTAACATACAAGTAACGATGTCGTATCTCAACTACTGAGATACACAAAAACTTGTCCGCAACTTTGCAGCTATACAGGGTGAAGAAAAAATAACTTGGATTCTGATTTCAATAAAAACGGACTGATTGTTATTTTAACAAAAGTTATGAGCTCGATGGCGCAGTTAGTGAGCGCGTTCGGCAGCGATCATTGAAGTTAAGCAAATTTTAGCAGTGTTCGGTCATTGGATGGGTGACCAAAAATTTTCTATTTCGACTTCCACCGTGCTTCGGAAGGCACGTTAAGCCGTTGGTCCCGGCTGCATCTGCAGTCGTTAGCACCCGCCAATCCTCACTGGGCCCGCGTGGTGAGTCATGGCTCAATCTCTCTATTCCATCCATAGGGAAGGCCTGTGCCCCAGCAGTGGGGACATTTTTCACTATTTATATTTGGTTACAGTTACATTTATATAAAAACATTACATGTCTCTTGAATTTTTATCACCCTGTATTTTGAGAGGACTGTAGGTAACGCCTTGGCAAAGGTTCAAAATGGCTACTATGGCGCCAGCAGCGTAATATGTCAGATACTTGGCCGGCTTATCTGAATTAATAATACGCTTTTTAGTTCAATCGGAATAATAAGTAAAGTTTTGGTAAACATAATATTTTTTTATTAATAATCTATATATATATAAAAATGAAACCCGTTTTCCGTTGTCACGACATAACATGAAAACGGCTTGACCGATTTGGCTGATTTTTTTTTGTAGATTTCTAATACTCTGTACAAGGTTATTACGGAAAAAAATATAAAGAAAATCTCTCAGAAAGATTGAAAAATATAACGTAACGAATGTCATTCAATTTAAAACAAAAAATCTGTGGTAATCTGTGACACCACATCGATAACCGCGCTGACAAATGTCAACGTCATTAAATTTAAAACAAAAAAAATCTGTGGTAATCTGTGACGGGAACAAACACTTATTAGCAAACAAAAAACATCTTAGTCTTTAAAACAAAACGAACTTTATCAAAAACTTAATAAAATTATTGTTAGCGCGGTTATGGACTAGCTGACCCGGCGAACTTCGTACCGTATAGTTTATCAAAAAGCATTAGAATAGAGAGAAGCAGTGAAGGGTATAGAGGCTATTAGTTGCTTTCTAGAGCGCGCGTGGTGTTGAGCTCAGTGTTTACTTCAAAATGCAAAGTTGTTCAATAGCGATTTGTAAAAATATGAGTGAAATTGAACCATATGGAATAAACACTATTATGAAAATATATATGTTGTTTTTTATTTAATAAAAATTAGTAAAGTCCTCAGGTATGGCGAGACCAGGGAAATAAGGATTCATTTTTATATGGAGGATATTATAGATTCCAGTTCAAATTGAATAGGTACTCATACATAAGATAGGTCAGCTATACAAAATAAAGTAGTGCATCAAAGCTACGCTAAGGCGGTACGTAGTTCGCCTGGTCAGCTAGTAATAAATATTTCCAACACACACACCAATTAGCCTAGCCCCAAAGTAAGCACTATAAGACTTGTGTTATGGGATACTAGGGTAACGGATAGAATACATATACTATACATATATAAGGATATTTATATAGAAATACATATTAAGCATCCATGACTGGAGTACAAATGCACGTATTCATCACACAAACATCTGCCCCCACCGGAATTCGAACCCGGGACCTCTCGAATCGGCGACACCATGAAACCCGGCGTACAAACGACACGGCCACGGAGGTCGCCATTATAGTAGTAG